TTAAAGCCCTTTGAACAGTTTGCAGTTTGCACTGAAACGGTCTTTTGGACCTTGAACCATTTGGTTCCCATTTAAGTCCATTATTTAGAGAAAAATCCTGGAATGTTTTCATCAAAAACCTTAATTTATTTTCGACTGAAGAAAAAAGACATGGATATTTTGGATAAATAATCAAGTAAATTATCAGCAAAAGTGGTTTTGTTTTGTTGTTTTTTTTAAAGTGAACTACTCCTTTAAGTGTGTTGTAGGCTACCTTAGCTGCGGGTTTCAAGGCAAGTTTCAGTTGGCCTTTAAAGATCACTACAGTGCATGAATAAAAAAATATTAATGATGTGCAAGGGTAAATTGTTTGTAATAAATACTGCAATATTCCTTCAAAAAAACAAGCACTGTCCATTTTCATTTCATTGTGACTTTAGTCTCATAATCTTAACTGTGTATATTTTTATTCTATTCTATTATTCATTATATTGCGCAAATACACATGTGCACACACTCCTAGTTATATAACAAAGGAGAAAATAAAGAGATCCATGTCAGCGAGCAGCTAGTAAAGCGTGAGCTTTGTGAGCCAGGGTGTTGTGAGCACAAAACACTGCGTTGGATCATAAGAGAGAAAGAGAGCAAAGGGTGGCAGAATATTCTGTTTTCCTGTCATCTCCTCTGTATCTCTATGTGTGTATGTATGTACTTGAGGCAAGCTGTCCTGAGAAGCAGATGTAGAAACTAGTAAGATTAGGGAGGTGACCTGCACTAAATACTGTAAATACCCATAGCCAGCCTGTCAAATTTGTAAAAGCATGTAAACAAATCATATCATTATTTCTGTTCAATGAAAACTCCAGTCTCCAAGCCTCAGTATTTTTGGCTACACGGTTACTTGGCTTGGACTGAGATGAAAGAAAACCTTAGGTGTGTATGTAACATACTGATGAGATGGCCAGACCTGTGGTCGACCCACAACTGACAGTCATGTTTAATTAATGCAAGAAAAACACAGAGTTTAAAAATTGCTATTACCACCTCTTACTTCACCATGCCATGAATAATAAAACCCCCTTTTGATGATGAGGTCTAAAAGCACTGGACAGATATACATGACAACTAGAAAATACAGTGAAATCATCTATCTTCTCCATCCGCTGGAGGTGAGATCTGGCTTGCATATGAGTCTCATTAAGAGGGGTCTCGCAGGACATATGAAGTTCCCCAGGTCCCAGTGTTAGTGGACTGAAAAATCGACCGAGACATTTCATATAATACCAGTCAATAACAACCTTACTGAGGCGAGGGAAATCAGAGAGAAACCTCACAAAATGAAATCTATAAGCAGGATACACTGCGCTCACGTACGCTCCCACTGAGCACTGGTAATTACTTCTGGACAAAAAAGCAGGTGATCTATGGGTATATTGAAGGCAAGAAACCATTAATGCATTCAAATGAGAAAACACATGTAAACAATCTGAGATTTCTACTAGGAACTTTCAATGTTATTTACTGGTAAAGCTTCCATTGCTCGATTCAAATTACACAGACAGAAGAACAAGAACCGAGATTCTTGTTCTATTCTTGTTCGAACAAGAATATATAACATATAAAGTTATTAGGTCTTTCATATTGGAGAGGTTCTGCTGATAAATGGCATACTTCTAATTAAAGTATTAACCCTAAAACCGTATTCTGGACAAATGTGGGCACAATAGTTTTGATTTATTTTTAAAAAATACTTCCCTTGATCTGAGCGGTACAAGACTTGGCTACTTTTCCAAAGTTTGCCCCCTGAACACACAATTTTTTTTGACTCAATTCTATAATGTTAAGTGGGTAAAAAAAAAACTCCTTAATCTTGTATTTGGGTCAAAAATGTGCACCCATAGAAATGAATGGGAAAAACTGTAATTTAGAGCATTCTAAAATAAGCCAAAATAAGCCTCCAGGTGACAGCAAAGTCACTTCATCTTTAGGTTTTAGCTCGAAGAACTTATTGGAATGATATTTTAATTAAAAGTTAAGAAAAAACATAAAAATAAGCATAATTTACATAGAAAATACTTCTACTTTTTGAAGTAAATAAATTCAAAAATACACCCAAAATAAAAAAACACCATAAATGGATAGACAAAACTTTTTCGAAGACAGTAATATAAAATTTATAATAAATAAAAATTAGGATCACATCTGAGTCTTCTGTTCTGTGCCCACATTTGTCCACAATTACAGGATTAAGGGCTATAAAGTGAATATGGTTTGAGGACTACTGCTAATAACACAATTAATATTTATAAATAAAATAAATTGCATACATTTATGGCATGTTTTAATATAAAAAAGTAATAATTCTTAATAAAACACAATAAAATATAGGCTATTAAAAACTGTAAACTATCTATAATAATGTTAAATGTGATGATTATGTTTAAAAGATTAAAAAAGTCTCAAGATCAATCAAAGCTACATAAAATGTTGTATAATTTAAACTAAATAAGGATTAAAAACTGATGTATTAAGCATTTTCCTTAGTAAAAAATAAAATAAAAATAAAAACATCTGAATGTGCAAAGTACTTTCTAAAGAATATACAGACCCAAGTATGCTTTGATTAGATATAGACATAGATAGTTTATATTCATTCTTATTGTTATATTGACTCCATGCAACAACACATGAAAGCCATTTCTGTTTATGTATTTTGTCCATTTAGTTCATCCTTAAACGTTATAGCTTTTAGGCACTGCAGACTTATGGTTCAGATAATAATCACTGTCACCAATTTGTCTCTGTCATAACTGCTTCATGTAACTTCTTTTTGTTCATATGACATTATGGTGTCAAATTAGTTCTTGTGCTGATTACTGTGATTATTCTGTGTGTCCTTCATTTTAAGTTGCTGTGAAACTATTCAAAGCATTGTTCAAGGAAAGTGACATAACCCATCCAAAAGAGTGTGGGTGTAGGAGTATATTTATAACAAATGTTCTGTAGACAGTCATCAGTGATGCAGAACTGCAGGTAGTAACTAACAATGTTATCATAAAATTATTGTTAGCTGCAGTCATTTTTATCCAGTAAGTTCAAGATCAGAGTGGAAAAGCCTGTGTAAAGCCTGGCTGTATTTTTTTTTTTTTTTTTTTCGATGAACAAATAGGCTATTATTCAAATAACAGTCAACGCCCATCTTACAATTTATGCAGTTAATCAGGGTCAAAATATTGCATTTGATTAGGAGCAATCATATGAATTAGAAATGAGGGGTTTGTTTGAATGGTGACAACAGATATTATATAAAAAGGGAATGAAGAACCTCAAAGTTTAAAAAGTGATCTACTCTTCTTGATCTCAGGTGAAAATAGCCAAAGCAAAATGAATATTCTCATGAATCTGTTGTGATGTAATCTAATATAATTAAATGCTGACATCTAATGGTGAAAATCTGGCAGTACATTCTCGTGAGACTTTGTTATTGTGGCAGCTAGCCTATTGTTTCTTTTCTCTGCGCGGATCACAATTGATCAGTCAGTCATTTGTGATTACTGGCATGCTATTTAGTTATTTGACAGAGACATCTAATGAGAATTTCCATTTATGTCGTTCAATTTTAATAGCCTAAAAAATGTGTGTAGGCTACGTTAAAAAATGGTTTAAAATGAACTACAAATAACACAGGGTTAGGGTTAAACACACTGTTCAACAAATAAAAAAGAGCACGTCTCGTCGCCAACAATCTGTAACTTTTTGCTAGCTTAAATCCGTAAGGGTGCACAAGCATTATTAATTTTTTTCTCTCCCAAGTAGCTCACTACACATAAATAATTCAATAGCACTTTTTGAAGATTTTTTTTTAAATTATGTATGCTCACATGTTTAAAAAAAGTTTAAAATTATGCTCAAAAAATTAAGTGGGGCAAGTATTGGTTCAATGTTCGACCGCTCGGAACGATTGATTCAACATAAAGATTCGAGTCAAAAGAACGACTCGTTTAAGAATCAGACTAATTTGCCTATAACACACGTTCACATTGTGTTAGTTCTGTGAACATACATTCGACCTTAAAGACAAGTAGTTCGCTTTTTTTTAAAAAAACAAACAAACATAATTTACTCACCCCCGTGTCATCCAAGATGTCCATGTCTTTCTTTCTTCAGAAAAAAAAATAGTTTTTGATGAAAACATTCCAGGATTGTTCTCCATATAATGCACTTTACTGTGCACCAAACGGTTCAAGGTCCAAAAGACAGGTTCAGAGCAAACTGCAAACTGTCGAAAGGGCCTAAACGATTCCAGACAATGACTAAGGGTCTTATCGAGCGAAAAAACAATCGGTCATTTAAAAAAAAAGTTCAAATTTTATAAGCTCAAATGCTTGCCTTGCTCTGTTCTGTAAGACTCTGCTGTTCAAACTCGTTCATCAAAATGAACAAATCTTTTTCCGAGTCAATTCGTTCATTTTGTTCGTTGAATCAACCAAATGACTCAACTAAGATTCGTTCATTTTGATGAACGAGTTCGAACAGGAGAGTCACGAACGCGCATCACAGAACAATGCTTGAGCTTATAAAACTTTTTAAATTATTTTTTATTTATTTATTTATTTTTTAATGAATGATCGTTTCACTTTATAAGACCCTTATTCATCGTCTGGAATCGTTTAAAGCCCAGTTTGAACAGTTTGCAGTTTGCACTGAAACTGTCTTTTGGATCTTGAAACATTTGGTGCCCAGTAAAATATATGGAGAAAAATCCTGGAATGTTTTCATCAAAAACCTTAATTTCTTTTCGACTGAAGAAAGAATGCATGGATATCTTGGATGACATGGTGATCGACTAAATTATCAGCAAAAGTTTTTTTTTAAGTGAACTACTCCTTTAAAACTGAAATGAAGCATTCTCACTGATAATTATTTTCATTTATGTTATTTAATACTTATCACTAAAGTTTATTTTGTACAAAATACAGTTCCGCCATTTACATTTGATGTGACGTTGGTTTCGTCGTCGCTTGCTTCACACAAACTTTCAGGCGCTGATGAGAGTGGGAACTTTAACAATCACTTCTCTTTTACAAGAAGATCTTTTTATCGTCGATCAGATTTAACCGAATTGATGCCAGGGTGGATTGACACTAAATAAAGTTATCTTACAACTTAAGTCTGCTGTTTTTGCATTTTAATGAGATGTTTATGATGTGGCGTCAGATAGTTTTGCTGTAACGTTAGTGGGCGAGGTTTGGTCAGCTAACTTACAACATAAACATCTGAAAATGTTGACAAGACTCAACACGCGCTGCTGAGGAATCGCAGGCAGACACCGAATTTTGGGCTGCAGGTAAGTTTCATATTATATCATTTTCTTGAACTTAATCAGTAACTTTACCTGTAACGTTAGAGATATAATATCAAATGCAGTCTAGTTAGGCGGCGGCTCTTTAGGTTTTGAAACAGCCTTTCTCTTCATGTGCACTTGAGAAGTCGCTTCCTATGTTTGTCGCGTAGCATACAGTAAACTTTACTGTAAGCGATGATATAATTTGAATATCTGACTCTTTCGAGGAATGAAATATTCTGTGACTGACATTACTGCCTGAGATGACCTGACCTAATGCATTTCAAACATGGCAGGAATAGCATGGTATCAGAAGAAGGTGAGCCTGACTAACTAACATCTATTTTACATTAAGTTAAAAACAGAATGTGAGTTGAACGTGGTTAAAAATTCTCCAATGATCTTGTGTCAAAGATTGGAGCATATGATCAGCAGATTTGGGAAAAATCACTGGAACAGAATGAGCTCAAGGTAATATGGCAGTTTGTGTTTTCAGAATAGATGTGGTTCTTGAATATTGTGTCAAATGTATGCAATCAGATGTGTGAAACTCAGTTCCTTTTTTGAGCAGGGCTTTGGAAGCAAACCTAAGAAGACTGGCCATATCAAGCCAGACCTCATTGATGTTGACTTAGTGAGAGGTGAGTTACTATCAAGTTTAGCGTCTGAATTTATTGTGATCTATAATGCTATAGGCTGTCAGATGATACCTGTACTGTAAAAATGTATGGTAAATCAAGGCAGCGACGGTTCTTTAAAACAAGATATTATAATTAAAATATACAATATTAATATATCAACTACTAAGTTAAGTAAACATAATCAAGTGGAATGTATCATACAGGGGCTGTTGATGTCATGTCAAGTATAATGTCAAGTATAAATTGTCTGTAAATTATAAGGTAATATATATGTACTTTCATTTACTGTAAAATTACACTACTGTTTTAAAGTTTGGGTTCAGTACGATTTTTTTTTTTGAAGAAAAATGTAAATTTTTATTCTGCAATAACACATTCATTTTATTAAAACGGACAGAAAAGACATTTGTAATGTTACTAAATAAATATTTTTCAAATGAATGCTCTTCTTTTGAACTTTCTATCCTTCAAAAAAAATGTTTCCACAAAATATTAAGCAGAACTGTTTTCAGCAGCCAATTAGAATCATTTTTGAAAAGTCATGTAATACTGAAGAATGGATTAATGATGCTGACAATTCAACTTAAATTTAATTCAACTTAAATTTAAAGGAATACATTAAAATGACATTTTAAAAAATATACTTAAAAGGAAAACATCTATTTTAAATTGTTATAATATTACTGTAATTTTATCAAAATCTAAGTCTAAGTATTTGTGAGCATGAGAGATAAAATCGTAATCATTAAAAAATTGTACCAAACGCAAACCTTTTAAAAATGTAAAAAAAAACAAAAAAAAAATGTCACTGTATAGATTACGGCAACTAACAGGTAAATAATTAATAGGGTTTTACTTTTATATCGTTGCATTCTTTTCCTATTAAAAATGACTACAGTTTTTGAACTGGTGTCTTTTTGCAGGTTCCACGTTTAGCAAGGCCAAACCAGAGAGCCCTTGGACCGCTCTGACTCGTAAAGGCTTGGTCAGGGTCCTCTTCTTTCCTTTCTTCTTTCAGTGGTGGATCCAAGTCACATCTAAATGCATCTCCACCCTCATCTTGGTTCTGTATTTCCTTCAAGGTATGCAGTTTTTCTTCTTTTCAGTAAACCAATCTCTTGGACACAATGTGCATAATGTGTTTTTGTCTAGTTTCCTTTGTCATTCTTTGAATATTTCAGATTCCACTGGGGGATTATACATGTGGTTTTCTATTGGAAATGAATTCAACTTAAAATTCTCAATATGATGTCATGATCTGATGGATTTGTGTTCTTTGCAGTGGCAGGAGCTGTGTTGTATTTTGAGGTACCAGCAGCCTGTGCCAGTGAGGTTGTGGGTCCATTGTGTCTCATGCTGTTGTTGGGTACAGTACACTGCCAAATAGTATCCACAGAAACCTCAAGAAGCCCAGACAACAGCCCAGTTCCCAGCCGGACAGCCAGCCCTGCTCGCAGGAAAAGGTTAAGCTGCTGCTGTCTCAGATTTGTGAAAGACTGACTTGGAGACATAAATGATCAAGTGATTTTTTTTTTTTTTCTCTCATCAAATGGCCAATACATCTAATCTTCTCCAAGGCTGGCAGTTTAATCAGCAGTGCCAGTGTTCAGTGGGTCAGTGACAAATAAGAGTGTCCACAATAAAGAGAAGGAAAAATCTAGTTTAAAACACGTGTGCCAAGTTCTTATAAATGTACTCATTGTATTCATGTTGATGTCATGTGGTTTTAGAAACCTTATACCATTTTCATGAAAGATTTACATTTAATTGCTCTAAAAAAGGTTGTAGTGAAGTAATAAAAGTAATAACATTTTTCTTACAGCTTAAAATCTTCATTTAAAAAACTATTTATATATTTTAAAATATATAATACATTTTAAATATATTTTTTAAGGTAAAAAGTTATGTCAACAATTATTAATTCATCATTTTTTTAGAGTTTCATCAATTTCAAATTATCATATATTTTAAGAGACTTATTGGATGCTTCTCATTTTTAAAGGGTTAGTTCACCCCAAAATGAAAATTAAGTCAGTAATTACTCACCCCCATGCTGTACCAACCCCGTAAGACCTTCGTTCATCTTCGGAACACAAATAAAGATATTTTTGATTGAATCTGAGAGCTGGATCAGTCCTACATAGAATGCCTAAGGGACTGGCTCTTGACGGCCCATAAAGTCATTAAAGAAAAGGTTTAAATATTCCATGTGCCTACAGCGGCTCAATTATAAGTTTATCAAGCGACGAGACTACTTTTTGTGCGAAAAAAACATAAATAACGACTTAATTCGACTATTATATTACTTCCTTGTGGGCGCATGCGCGAGAACTGAGACGAGGACGTTCTTCTCCTTCGACTACTTTTTGTTACCGGCTGCTCCGCTTAGGAGTATTACCGCCCCCTACCGTATAAGATGATGAACACTGTCGTTTTTTTTAGAAGATTAAAGGCTTTTAAGTGCACCTTGTAGTGCGGAAAATACGCTAATTGAAAAGCGTATGTACAGCGCGCATCTTCCTCTGCTTGTAAACAGAAAGTTTTGCGCTTCCAGCTATATCAGCACATCATCTTATACGGTAGGGGGCGGTAATACTCCTAAGCGGAGTTTATATATATATAAACAGTGAAACAATTAGGTTACACTACTTTTAAATTTTTGCTTTTTAAGAACAATATTTTTTTTTGTTTTTCTGTTTGTTTTTTGTAATGATATCAGGAAAAAAATCTATAAAAATCAGTTATACATAATACAAGTTGTAAAGTCATTGTATGTATGGATTACATTTTAATTTATATTTGGATAAATTAATTGATCTAACAAATTGCACTGATGTCATTGACCAGTCACCAAATTTGATACATCATACTTCTAATATTATATATTATAAAACAGATGGCCTCTGTTTGGTCAATACTGTATTCTTTTGATCTAATTCAATTTGTGTCTTTGTTGCTGTTTATTTATAGACAGAGGAAGAGTAGAAAAGCAAAGAGGTCTGAGGATGAGGGCAGCAGAGAGGAAGGGATAGTAGAACTCAAACCCCAGCAATTTCAAGACGACAACCAGCTCTACAGATCAGAGAAGAGATTGGTAAAACACTTTCCTTTGAACTGCACTTTTTGAAGAGTCGTGAACATTCATGTTTGTGTTGATTGAGATCCTGTAGGCTTTGCAGAACTCCCTTAGGAGGCCTCCGTGTGGGGCTTCTGAAGATCTCTCCAGTGAGGAAGAGGAGGCAGATGAAGCAGAGCTGCAAAGAGAGAGACTCTTCTCATCAGCACCTCCAAAATATGCCCGAGCACTCAGGAATAGACTTCACAAAGTCCCCAAGAACAATTCGCCACTAAAGACTCAAGTGAGTATCTCAAAACCAAAGGTAAAATCTGTAAAATAGATAAGATTATTCATTACCATTGTTTGATTTCATACAGGGAGACAGTAATGGGATGCCCAAAGACAAAGACAACCCAGCTCTACCACATGAAGTTGAGCTTCTGCGGTCTTCACAGGGCTCGCGTCCAGCCTCTGACACGGATGATATGTTATGGGAGGAGCTTCTGCACGATCCTGACTCCGCCTCCACAGGAAGCAGTGACAGTGGGGAGGAGGAGCATCACAGTCATAGCCACTCCCTCCCTCTGCCCAGCATCACTCTGACTAGTGATGAGGATGAGGCCTTACCGCAGGTGGGCTGCAGTTTTACTGTAAAAAATGTTACGTGACTTTTCACACTTTGCTTAAAGGGATAGTTCACCCAAAATGAACCAATGAGGTTCATTCTAGTAAGTGATTGAACTTCCGCAAGAACCAGTGAGGTTTGCTCCCACGCGTCAAGCAGGTTCGGTATGTTTGCTGATCAATGTTGTGAATACAACTATAAATCATCATATAAGTTATTGTGTAGAGAATTTCACGCTAGAAGTAACACCAAAGCACAGAGGACAGTCAATCGCTGTGTGTGTGTGTGTGTGTGTGTTTTAAGCAGCAGTTGAGTCAGTAGCACCTCATAACAGTACATGAGATCCAGGGGGCGGAGTTAGATCCAGATCTAAGGGGTGGAGATGGGTAGGATTAGGGGTGGGGTTAGGGATCAGGGGGTGGAGATGCTTATCATAGAACAACTATTTAAAGTGTGGAATTCATAACTGGCCTTAACTCCTTTAATTTACTAGGGTTAACAACCTCATCAAACAGCGGACTCTGACTACATTATTAATTTTGTTCTTAATTGAATCTCCCTGTAGCACCAGTTCTCATGGCTGCAGGCTTGTCACCCCTCCAAAGACCGCGTCAGTGCCATAATCTGGGAGCAAGGAGAGTGTAAAAAAGCTGATATGTCCGTGCTGGAGATCAGTGGGATCATTCTCACACAAGTAAAGTCCTTCTTTACCTCTCTGCCTTATTTATTTCTTTAAACTGCCTGGAAAGGGAACATAACTTTTTATTCAAATTCAATGTAAACATCTCCTTGTAAGCCTTTGAACACTGACTATTTTAGAGAATTGCAGTGGTATTTGCATTTCAGAAGTAATAGGTCAGTTATTCTGTTAACTTACGCTGAATGATTTCTGTTTCCAGGTGAAGGTGGTTGAGCAAGGGATGGGTTATCTTATTTTCGGCAGCTTGGTCACGGCCTCACTGGCTCTGCTGCCTTACTGCTTCAGACTGGCACAGAAACTGGATGTTGCCAATCTCAATTCTGTTTCCCTCGAGGAACTTCCAGCAGTGGCCATCGGGCCGCCTTGTGCCTTGTCTTATGCTTTCTTCATCATCACCACAATGGAAAGAGTTTTCCTCTCTGGACTCTTCTTCTTCATGATGTGTGTGGCTGAGAGGACGTATAAACAGGTGAAGATGAAAATTAATTCCCTTCAATTTGTATGTTTTTTTTTACATTTCAAGTTATATAAATGGGTATTAGCTTATAAATTTTGAGCTAACATGCATTAACTAATGTTAACAAATTGAACTTTATTGTTACGTGTTTTAGAGCTGCACGATTCTGGATAAATTGAGAATCACAATGTTTTTGTTCTAAATAGAAATTATGATTCTCCCACAATTCTAACAGACAACTAACATGTAATTTACTAGAAGTTCTGACAAAATGTTAAAAATTAGTAATTAAAAATGTTTTATTAATTCAATTACTCACTCATGTACCCCTTTTCCACCAAAGCATTTTGAGCAACTAGTTAGAAAATGGAGCAAATCAACGTTTAAAAGTAACTAGTTGCTTCAAATAACGGTTGTACTGGAGAATCGTTGTAAGTTAGGAATAAGGTCATGTGAGTGTTTGAATCGAGATTGCAATCTTTTAACGATTAATTGTGCAGCTCCAGTATGTTTACACAACAACGTTCTAAACACAGGAAACATTTTTTTTTGCGTTTTCTCTGGTGACAACGTCGTCAAAACGTTCCCTGTTCACACGGATCTGTGAAAACAACTAAAAATTCGAGCTTCAGTCTTCTCCGTTGAAATCAATATGGTCACTGTGTCCATTTCTTTTACTGTCTATGGTTTTCACTAATCAAATCTGTATAATGGCAGACAGGATTTTTGTTCTTAACAAATGTGATGTCATCCACAGCGCCTTTTATTTGCGAAACTTTTCAGCCATCTCACATCTGCACGCAAAGCCAAAAAATCTGAGATTCCTCACTTTCGGCTGAAGAAAGTACAGAATATCAAGATGTGGCTTTCACTTCGATCATTCCTGAAGGTATCTTCTTCCTGTTACAGTTTCCATGTAGGGATGCTCAATATATCAGTACCATATCATGTGTTGATATTAGCAATATTTTTTTTAATTATCAAAACTGAAATTTAACTGATATTTATTAAAGGTTACATTTTTACATTTGCATTACATTTCCTGTCATCTAATGCTCACAATGTTATTCTATTAATAATAATTTATTAACCCCTTTAAATGTAATCTTTACCAAATCTCAAAAGAAATATCTTTGTTTTTGTATACAGTATAATGCTGTTATGCCTAAATTCACTTGTAGCATTGAAAATGACTGATTTGAGTTTTTAGTGTTTTAGGTTTTCATTCATTTTTAGAATTAATAATACATTATTATATATATTTTTTTTATTTCAACCACAACATCTAGGGGTAAAAGCTTTTTGTTTGCTTAATCCAAGTCTGTTTATATAAGCACAAATGACGTGTTTCTGCTGGCTGTCACATGTGTACACCTGTTGTATAGAGCAGTTTACAGATACAGTACCTTGTTTATATTACATGAAGATCAATTTAATCATTTCTTTGTTCTATTTAACAGAGACGAGGCCCTCAGCGCTCTGTTGATGTCATTGTGTCATCGATTTTCCTCCTGGCTTTGTCTATTGCCTTCATTATCTGTGCCCAGGTCAGCTATTGTTCTACTCCACAATGTTTTTGACACACCCTTTAGGCATGTTTTTTAAGCTTTGCTTTAATATATATATATATATATATATATAGACCATTTTGCAAAACAACACTGGTCCAGAAGCACTTCCTGTTTCAGTTTTTTAACACTACATAAAAGCTGGGATAAAATACAACCAACAGAACATATAAATATGAATCAAAAAGTTAAACAAACATCTTTAACAGTTACAAACTGAAACAGGAAGTGTTTCTGGACCAGTGTTGTTTACAACTTGCAAAATGGTCTATGTATATATATATATATATACTATTCCTGTTCCATCTGTACCTTGAACCCTTAATGCATGAATGTTTCACCAATCATTATTATATATTCGGGTCTTTACCAACGTGGATCTATATCTATTGCAGATGGCTCTCTAACTGCTGCAATAAAAAACTCCTAATATTTGATTAATAATTTAAAAAGAATATTAAAAGCATATTTCGTTAGCGTTTTGAAAGTAAGAAGAGTTCAACTTGAGCAGATAATTGTTACCATCATCACTGTCACCAGCAGAGCTCATTTCCCATTACATTCAGCATCTGGCTCATATTCTCAAACATATACTCAAAGCTATCATTTGCAACATCTTTAAAATAAATATTTTGATCGCTGGCAGCTTCTTCGCCAGATCAGATCAACCATCAAGACAGTGACGCTAATATTTGCACAAAGTATTTGCTCTGCAGTCTGCAGTAAAATGCTGGGCCATAGAGAACAAAGAAAATAAAAAGTGCTTTAAGTTGTTCAGGGAGGTCTAACAGTAGTATTCAGGTAAGAAATACAGAAATTGAATAAAGTGATCAAATGTAAAATAACAGTGCATAGTCTTCTTTTTATAAACCATTATTAAAGCTGCTAAAGTTACTCAGTCAAGAGCAGTCAGTGATTTTCTCTGTATCTTTTGTTGTTTGAATTAACATTAAAGCTACAGTCCGGCGGTTTTCCTCTTTGTCGCCATCTCTGTTCGAAATCTGCTATTGCAGTCATTTGCGGAATTATCAAATTTACATTGAAGTTGTACTAACACAATGTTTGAGTAGAGTGTGTGGCTTTCAGTCACCGCGCCGGTGTGGATACTGGCATTCAGAATCACAGATTATTTTTCCGAACGAAGTCTTTTGCGTTTTTCAGCGGGTGAATCTGTTGTCACTGGTGATTGTCGTTTGAACCTTTCTGGATCCGCCATCAAATTGATAAGTTTAATTATATCAAATGCTGTGAGAAAAGCCTATAAATCTCCACCTCCAACATCCTCAAACGCAATCCTACTAGCCAAGACTACTTCTTTATGTGTGCAGATGTGACGTAATGACGCAAAGACACGCTCGAATCTCCCGCGGAAATCCACCAGTGCCACTGGAATTAAAAACATTATTACAAGCAGACACTGGCTGGTTATGTATTTTCTCAAATATATATTTTGGGATCATTTTTAACCCCAAAAAAAAGCTACGGACTGCAGCTTTAAGGACTCAGACAGCAGCAAGTTTAGGCTACTGTCACTTTCAGAACTAATGCACGGATAGAAATGCGATTTTCACTATACAAGAAAAAAACGACTGTTTAAATGAATGCAATATCAATTTTTGTGTGTATTTATCCTTTCATGTGAAAGAGAACTCAATTCAGCGCTGGTATACTGTGAGAGGCGGCTTTCGGTGTGCATGCTTCATGAAAACCATCCCAAATTGAGTTATCTTTCGCGTCGTCTTGCGCTTAAATTGTTTCAAATTTGAAATTGGCTAAACACGTGCAAATGCATGATCAAGCTGCTCCGGGCCCTTATTGTTGAGCATTGCATTATTGTAAATTTCTTTGGGTCTGTTTACACCTGGTCACTTCATTTGTTTTTACTGATTAAATAGCATGATCTGATTTGTTTAAACAGTTCCACTTACACTTGGCCATGTAAATGCGTCTCGAATAGAAATCGGATGTTCAATCCCCTCGCTATACATGCAAATCTAACGATTTCACGCCAACTAAAGTGACAGATATGAGCTGCATTTTATTTATCATCAGCGAATTTCAAGATCAAAGACAGCAATAGGAGAGAGAGCGCCATCAGCACTGGTAAGATAATTTAGTCTCACTACTTTAATGAAGATGATTGTGTGTTGACCGTCTGCGACTTGCTTTCAGTTTCATTTGCGGCAGTTTGTCCGTTGCCTCGGCTGCTCATTTGTGGCGATTTACTCCTGTCCAGTTTCGTTTCTCGGACAACCTCCTGAAGTGGTTTGAGTAATCGGATTTAAATCCGTCTTGGAAGTGTTTCGAGGGGCATTTACACCTGGTCTATTCACGATCGGAAAGCTATCCAGAGAAAACGCATGAAGTGACCAGGTGTAAACAGGCCCTTTGTGTTTTTACCAGAGATTAAGTTTTCCTTGACATCAAATGTGAAATTTTTACATACAATCGTGCTCAGAAGTTTACATACACCTTGCAGAATCTGCAAAATGTTAATGTTATTTTAACAAAATAAAAGGGATCATTCAAAAATGCATGTTATATACTGTATATTTTTATTTAGTACTGTCTTGAATAAAATATTTTAGATAAAATATGTTTACATATAGTCCACAATAAAAAAAAAAATGTTCTAAATGTTATTACCTGGATGATCGATATCTGTTTTTTGGGAGGGGGGTTTTGTGATGGTTGTTCTTGAGTCTCTTGTTTGTCCTGAGCAGTTAAACTGCCCGATGTTCTTCTGCAAATTCTTCAGTTTTCCAGTATATTTTGCATATTTGGACCCTTTCCAGCAGTGACTGTGTGATTTTGTGATCCATCTTTTCACACTGAGGACAATTGAGAGACTCAAACACAACTATTAAAAAAGGTTAAAATATTCACTGATGCTCCAGAGGAAAACACAATTCATTAAGAGCCAAGGTTGAAAACTTTTTGAATCTGAAGATCAAGGGTAAATTGTAATTAATTTGTCTTCCGGGAAATGTGTAAGTATCTGCTGTTGCTTCTGAGGGGCACTAAATGGAAGGGAAAAAATCATATTTTAAAAAAATAAGAAATTTCTTAAAATAAAAAAAAAAATCTTCATCCTATTCAAAAATGTTCAGGCTGTTAACTAAAACGATTAAAAATCATGTTAATGTTGTTCATTGAATTAAAGCTAAAATAAAATAAAATATAAAAATGTAAAGAAAAAAACATACACTAACTTAAATGGGAAAAAACATATATAAAAATAAAATAGAGAATATGAAAAAATTATAAAAATATAAAATTATAAAATAAAATAGGTTTAAGCTGAAGTATTAAAATGACTAAAAACCAAAACCCGAAATAAAAATAAATGAAAGCTAAATAGTAATATTTAATGACAAAAGTACAATAAAATGACTAAAACTTTAAATTAAATATTTAAAAGAATATATATATATATATATATATATATTCATTCTGTCATTTGGATTTAGTAAGACCCATAGTAAGCATAAATGATCCTGACTAGTTGTGTGTGTCAAAGTCATCTTCATAGACATAAAAGTGATTTGAGGTGTTTATATAAGGTTAAGTATCATACTACTGTGCTTATTAAATCTTTTCACAGTTTGAAGATTTCACTGTCTAATATAGCAAAGGAAACGAGAAGATAACGCTTGTTGTGTTTCAGCTTTTGCACAGTCATCACACATTCCTGGACTCCGAGACCAACTGGGAGTTAATGATCTGGTGTGCTGCTCTCACGGTCTTCCTCCTACGCCTCGCTACCCTCGGAGCAGAGACCAACCGAAAATATAGCAACGCTTCTGTGCTTCTGACTGAACAGGTGAGATAAAAATCTCAGCCGCACAGAACAAAGAGGCAGTATTGTTCAGAAACAAGCGAACCATTCACACGTACGAGAGGCCATTCCGCAGGCGCAAATAAATACGGTCAACATTTCTGCTGCAGATAAACTTGTATCTTAAGATGGAGAAGAAACCAAACAAAAAGGACCAGCTGAACATAGTGAACAACGTCCTGAGGCTGGCCACGAAATTATTAAAAGTGAGACCATTGAAAAAGCATCAGAAAAATAAATATTATAACAATAAGTAATTGCTTCGCATTGACCATCATTTGCTGCTTTCAGGAATTGGACACTCCTTTTCGCCTGCTGGGTCTGACGGTGAATCCGCTCGTCTACAATATTACAAGAGTGGTCATCCTGTCAGCCATCTCAGCTGCTGTCAGCGATTTACTAGGGTTCAACATCCGGGTGAGAGGAACATTTGCACTCTTGTGTACAGTGGTTATCTGCACCTGTTTCCTGGGTCTGTTTTATTGTCCTGCTGAAATGCAGATGTGTGTAATTATTGATCTTGATGATCTGTTTTTTTATGACTTAAGTCATAAATGCATTTGTAAAACTCCCTGTTATCAGGACAGTTAGAGTTGCTCACTCTTTATAGTGTTTGACTTTTATCATACTGGTGTTGCTGTACAAAAGCAATCTTTAACTAACAGGTTTAACAGGTTCACATGTCCCTCTATTTTGTTTCAACAGCTCTGGAAGATTAAACCTTGATGTGATGCCTTTCTTTACACTGCCAGCGTCTTAACACTGGGGCCAGACAGACTCTTAAGTGTGCTTGTGCACAACCTACTAAATGACCAATTTAACTATTAAAAACTGTGCAAATCTACTGACCAAACCTATAGTTTCCTCAATACGCTGTGCCTTCGGCCAGACTGAGTAAACCTGTGTTCTGCTCAACCTTGTTGTTGAGTTTTCCTCATTTGAATTGCAGTGGGTTTTCTTGATGCACTTAACAGCTTGCTGTTATATTCCAACCAGTGCTCACTGTTTCTCATAAATGTATCTTCTGCAAGTGTGTTATCTCGTTTGGAAGCAACCACTTAAATCAGAACCACTATGTGCCTTGTGAATAGTTGCATATAACAGTACTTTTAGATAAGCTATTTATGAGACATGGATTTGTCAACTGCTGAATGGGCAATTCAATGCAAGTCTTGACTTTTTAGAAAATGGTACTGAAAAACTTGCACACTGAAGCTTTTGGAGGAAGCACTTTCTATTGGCATTGTATTAAAATAAACAAACCTTTCTCTGAAAGTCATCTGTAATCATCAATCCTTTACCAAATATTTGAGTTTGTGGTTGGGGGATGGGGGGTTGATTCCTGGTCATTAAATATGCCCCCATTGAATTATCATTAATGGAAAAGTGTGGATTCAGTGATTTTACTGCTGTACTTTTTATACTGCAATCATTGGTCAAGCTTTATATATTCTGTATTTCGTTTGTGCACAAATCTTTTTAAAGGGATAGTTCACTTTGAAATAAATTTTTGATATGTTTTAGCTTGCCTCAAGGGCATCCAAGATATAGGTGTCTTTGTTTTCGCAGTTATTTCAATTTTGATATTTTTAGGTCAAACCGTTCTTGTCTGTCAGTTATATGATGAAGGTCTATGGTCACCACCTCGAAGAACATGCACAGAGAAGTCCAAATTAAACATGATTTAATGACTCATAAATGTAAGTACACATTGATGGTCTAAGACACGAAACGAGCGGTTTGTGTGAGAAAACGAACAGTATTTATTTTGTTTTTACCTCACAGTCACGTCCAAGTGATCTGAGGGCGCTGGCGCTATGTGGCTGTGGTTACAAGAGATAAAAATGATAGAAACACAGTTCGTTTTCTCACACAAAACGCTCGTTTCGTGTCTTAGGCCATCAATGTGTACTTACATTTACGAGTCATTAAATCATACGAGTCATTAAATGTTTAATTTTGACTTCTTTGTGCATCCTCTTTGAGGTGGTGACATAGACCTACATTATATGATTGATAGACACGAACAGTTTGACCTAAAAATATCAAAATTGAAACTACTGCAGAAACAAAGTCACCAACATCTTAGATTCCCTTCGGGTAAGCTAAAACGTATCAAAAATTAATCTCTTTAATGAATCAATCATAAAAGCTATACGAATGAATAATATGTAAATTTCAAATTGTAGCCACTTTTGTGTTATAGCTTTCTTGCTGGCTTCTAATAACATCTTTAAAAGGTACTTGTCTTTCTTCATCAAATGAGCTGCTAAGTTGCCCAGGTAAATTGTAGAAATTGTAGTCACCAAAAATAAAATGTGTTATTACCTCCTGCCAATATTACTGAATGGCTGGGCAGCTCCAGAATACATGAAAATGGTCTTCCAGCTGTTCCCCACATTTCCTCCAACATTGACCACTTCCCTTCTCGCAAGAATGAATGGATTTTAACTTGGGGCTTATAAAGTATCTAATAAGATCCCACCAACAGAATTCTCTCCACATACCCGAGCTGGTAGAAGTCGCCTGTACAGAACAGATATTCAGTTTTTCTCTGAAATATCAAGACAAGATTCTTTATCGCATTTTAATCTAACTTTACTTGTTGATTGTTTCTTTATGGATTGAATGGCTAGATAATAGTTTTGAAATAAGTTTCCTATTATCCTTATTTTTATACATGTTAATAAATGGATCAATTAAATTGGTGCCATGTATCGTATTTCTTTGGTAAAATAAGTCCTAGTTTGTGTACCTAAAAAAAAAAAAAAATCAATTTTTCCCAAACCATATTTATCAGAGATCTCCTGAAGGTTTAGAACAAAATGAGGGTGAGTAAATGATGACAATTTTCATTTTTGAGTGAACCTTCCCTTTAAAGTCAACTGTTTAAGTCCTGGTCCACATAGACGATGCGCTGTCATTCTTTTACAGGTATTACGGTAAGTAAAAGGTGACGTAGAGACACACCTTCACTCACGCGATTGGCGCTGGTTGCCATCAAGTGCAAAATCGGCTGGGAGGCAAAGACACCCTGCGGCCTGAGCAAAGACATTGAACCTGCCGGTCGGACCGGCGGATACAGGATAAAATACGGACGGACCCCCGTGGTTGAAGGGGTGACTAACTTATTAGGACGCAGTAAGGTCTCAAGTTTTACGTGTCACGTTTTAGTCATAGTGCTTTAATGTGTCTGTTTAATATATTAATTATACTGTGTAGTGTGTTATAAACGTGTGGCTTAGACCTTCAGTGACTGATAGTTGTCAAACCCTCTGTTTACGGTTATGACGTAACACGGTGTCCTCAGCATCCTCTTCTCTGTTGTGTTGTTACTGCGCTGCGGATGACTGAGAAAATGACGGTGTTGCGATAATAAAAGATGCATGTCACTGCGAAGGGCATGATTGTAGACTATACGTGAAATGTTTTCAATTTTCATTAGTTTTCATTTTAATAAACCCTTATCGTCGTTTTCACTAACGTAGGTTGCGTGTATAGTGTCTTTATTTCGCAGTTTTTTCCTTTTCTCTCTGCCTCTGCAGGTGTACTGTGTTTTTACAGTAGGAAGAGCAAGCGAGTGATTAAGTCTGACAGATTCAGTATGTCTGTGTGGCTGCAGCAGGAGGCTGGTTCAACCAGTTCTGCTGAAGCCAAGAAATCAGAGCCCAGAGGCCAAGAGAAGAAATGCTGTAAGTTACACAACATGAACATGCTTTCACGTTCCACAAGAAGTTGTTTTGAATCCCAATTTAAACCAGCCTAAGGTGGTCAGCTAATTAGGCTGGTGTGTTTTAGTGGGGTTTGAGGTACTTTTCAGCTGATGAGAATGTTTCTCACAGCCCACTTAACTGTTGTGTCCCTGGTCCAGTACATGTAATTGACGACATGAATCAAATCACAGTTGTCCTTGCCAGCTGTCACTAAGAATGCAAAACAGAAATTCACAGTTGGTCTATGTTAGAAATATACCTGATGTGCTTCCCTTTATTTAGATATGCGTTCTGTCATGCTGGTTTCAAATTGCAGATCAAGGTAGAGGCACATTTGCTTCTTTTCCCTGTCATCAAATTGCTGACATGAGTTCATGTTTAATGTTTGGTTGTAACTCATTACAAGTAACTTGAGTTACATAATCGGATTACTTTTTCATGTAACTAGTAATGCACTTCATTACTTTTTCAATTTACAACAAAATATCGAAATTACTTTTTCAAATAAGTCTAGTTACTTTAATATTTATTGACTGACAGCTCTACTTTGTCCCCATGTTGAGAGAGATAAATTGAGGTGGTGTGTGCACTGTGTAAGCATGATGGTTATTTAAGTTCTAGATTAAATTAACATGCATACTTGTAGAACTTGAAAACAGTCAAATGCAACCTCTGAATTGTATGCAAAACTTTAATAATTAATTATAATAAATTACACAAATATACTTTATGTATTTAATCTCACTTTATTAACCAATGTCTTTGCTGCTGACCTTCAATGATCTAATTCAACCATACTTATAAGCAAAAATTACTTTAGAGTTAGAAATAAGAGTGTTGAACTTCCTTCTCCTGTATCCTACAGAGCATCACAGTCCCGCCCACAGCCTGAGAGAGTGCTGGTGCCGGAAGTAAATTTCCCATTCATTTCTCCCTTTCACATTTTGTAAAATCCATATCTAAAGAGTATAAGAGCATTTCTGAGGATAACCAGCTACGGCTAAACTCGTTAGCATACAACATATCATTTCTAGTGAAAAAACGAAGAGAAAATCCAAAAAAAGTCAAGGGTACAAGTCTGTGTACATATTTTCATTTCCGAGCAAAGGAACTACTCCTCCCATAAACCACCGCGCCTCACTAAAGTCGACTGAAGCCACCGTGATAGAGACTTTTGAGGCCCCGTCCACACTACTGCGTTTTTGTTTAAAAACGGAGAATTAAAACGAAAACGATCTCCGTCCACACTAGCGTTTTACCTGCGTATTAGAATTTATCTCCGTCCACACTAAAACGACTGAAAACGTGGATCACGTGACCATTCACCAACACTGGGCATGCACGCGCCGGTGTAAACAGTGGTTGGCGAATCAGGAAAAGATACGTCATGACTGATGACACCCAATCATAGAGCCGAGCGTGAGCCTCTGCGTCATCGTTTGTAAACTCCTCCATTTTGTCTCGTCCACACTAAAACGCCCTCCGGAGATTCAAAACGCAAAACGCAGCTGCAGCGTTTCTAAACTTCTCCGTTTTGGGTCTTCGTTTTTCCCGTTTTAGTCTGGACGGGAGGTGCAAACGTAGCAAAAGGTCTCCGTTTTTAAACGAAAACGCAGTAGTGTGGACGGGGCCTGAGTGACTTTCAAATCTGGCGACGGCCACGTGAACTTTTTCCTCCAGTAAATTTTATATAGTGAATGTGCAGGGAAACTCATTTTCCTCGATTTACTGAAGCTTATATGTAAAACGCATTTGCAGCTGTATATGCTAAAACATTGAGCATCTGGCTCGCGTATACAGTAGGCTGTGCTGCGGCAACTGCACATCCAATGGCACGGGGGTGTCTCTGAGGTGCGACCAATGAACTTAGCCCTATGTCATTACATGATCTTCAGTCTTCAATTGCCTTCCCGGGGTTTCAGACATGTTACATGATTTCCACCAATCAGATAACCTGGCCCTAGCCAGATGAATTTCGCTCCGCCTAGCTCCACTCATCCATCTGGAACCGATCCATTGAAATGGCGTTTCAGAAGGCTGGGCCTTATCAAAAATCCTTGCATATGATTGGATAAGCCACTTGTCTGTCATCTTTATCGACGTGCTATTTCAACCACTCACACCGAAGCCAACCCGTGACGCTGATGAGAGTGACGCAACCGAAATATTAGGAAATATTGAATGAAACAATATTAGGTAGATTGGACAACACGGATGAAATAGCAGCATCAATGTTAACGCTTGCTTCCTCGATGCGAGCCGCCATTGTTGTCTGAATCAAAACAGTCTCACGGTCGCTTCTCCACTACGTCACATCTATGAAACTCCCGCCCTGCGTCCTGATTGGCTAAGCCATAAAGTTGGTTGGAGAAATCACTCTCAATGGAAGAGGTTCCAGATGGATGTGAGTGAAGCTAGCCGGAGCTAAGCGGAACGACATTCATCTGGCTAGGGCCAGGTTACCAATCAGATGCATCACTGTGGGATTGTTCAGAATTGTGGGTAATGAAGTACTTATCCAAGACATCGCGAATTAAAGGCATTTATCTTAAAACAAGGTTAGTGCCCCATGAACTTTTGGCTTTTATGTGAGCATGTACAATCGCTTAGTACAGCCGTAGCTGGTTTTAAGTCTACCATGTATGGTTATGTTTTATATGGTTACGGCTTATATCCCAACTGTCAATGGAGAAATTGTATTGAATTTTTACTTCCAACACCGGCTGTGGGCGGGACTGTGATGCTCTATTGTTCCAGAATGGCAACACAGCTGAAAGGTTTGTTTGTGCGGCGCCCTCTACTGTACAGGCGTGAATATTCATTTCCTTCTGCCTGAGGTGTGAAAGGGCCTTAATGGTGCAGTATGTGATTTTTAGCAGCATCTAGGGGTGAGGTGCAAATTGCAACCAACAAAAGTTACGGTGGCCGACAGGAAAAGATGTCGTCTGAGACAGCAGAGAGTAGCCAGTTCAGCAATGATGTTTTTCTACAAAGATACATTAAGAAATTTTGTTTACTTTATTATTCAGTAAAACAATATGTTACTGTGAATATTATGGTTACTTGTTCATCTTTGTGTCAGTGTTTTTATTTGCTGACTTTAGATAGCTTCCTTGCACGAAGAACAACATAGTAACGAAACGTGTTTCCCAACCCAGTTCCTGGCGGCACACCAACACTGCGCGTATTCTTTGTCTCCCTTATCAAACACACCTGATTCAACTCATCAGCTCATAATCAGATGGGTAAATGAGCTGATGAGTTGAATCAGTTGTGTTTGGTTAGGGAGACAAAGAATACGCGCAGTGTTGGTATGCCGCCAGGAACTGGGTTGGGAAGCACTGGTTTAGGGCCACTGTAGAAATGAATGTTGGCGCATTTCAATGTAAGGGGACCCGCGGTTATAAAGATAGAAATTACTCATTCTAAGGTAATAAAAACATAACGGTTCATTAAGTAAGGTACCACTGAAAACATAGCTATGTACAGTATATGATATTGCATTTCTGTCAACAGATCCTCCTAAATATTACACAAGGCACCTTTAACATTTGCCAAAAATATAACTTTTTTTGTTGTTATTAAAAAACAAACAAGCAATCCCGGCATAGGTGAGAAAAGTAGCGCAAAAGTAATGTAACGCATTACTGTAACGCATGTAACACATTACTTTTCATAAAAAGTAACCAAGTAATGGAATTAGTTACTTTTTGGGGATGTAAGGCAATATTGTAATGCATTACTTTTAAAAGTTACTTTCCCCAACACTGGGAATGTTTTCTTCATACCTAATATGTTCATTGTTAAACAAAAAATCCAGGGATGTAATTTGCATGTGGTATTCTTTTTTTTTTCTATTGAGAAAGAAAAAAGCAAACCTAGATCTTGGCAGAAGACCAATGTTTGTTTACCAATGGTCTAGAAAGAAATGTAATGCCCCGATTTTTTGTTTTGTTTTGTTTTTTACAAATTACACCAATGTGACGGTAAAGACATTTAAAATGTTCCAAAAGATTTATATTTCCATTAATTGCTTTTCTATTGAACTTTCTATAATTCTGGAAAATGTAATATATCACATTTTCCACAAAAACATTAAGCAGCACAACTGTTTTCAACATTGATAATAAGAAATGTTTCTTGAGCAGCAAATCAGCATATTAAAATGATTTCTGAAGGATCAGTGACACTGAAAACAAGAGTAATGATGCTAAAAATTCAGCTTTGCCATCACAGGAATAAGTTACATTTTAAATAACTTATTAAAATAGAAAACAGCTAATTCAAATTGTAATATTATTTTACGATTGATTATTTTAATAATAATAAAAACAGCCTTGGTGATCATAAGAAACAAATTACGACCTTGATACAAGGTGTCAAAAGTCTCAAAGTTTCAGGTCTTATTTTGTATTGAAGTAGTAGAAAGTACCATAAACCACAAACGTGCAAACATAAACTCATACATTCAGACTTGCATCAGGCATAAAGTAATTGTGTCATTTGATTTTATGTAATTTTTGGTGCAGATGCAGTTGGTGTTGGTATGTGAAATTTTAGTATTTTATATTTGGCGGATTATAATTGATAGTACTGGAGACTATATCTTCCTCCAGTCCATGATGTGCTGTTGACACCGTCTATCTGTTTTTTTGTCTGACCACAGCATGGGCGTCTTACATGACAAACTCCCCAACGTTAATTGTCATGATCGGCCTCCCTGCCAGAGGCAAAACATACATGTCGAAGAAGCTCACACGCTACCTCAACTGGATAGGAGTTCCCACAAAGGGTGAGCTGGATTTAGACAGTTGCGACATGTCAAATGGCACTCACTATAAATATCATTCACATCAGTCTTCTTTTTAAATGCTCCATTTAGCTCTCAGCTGATCATTTCTATCAATAGTCTATTAAGAGGTTACAGTTTAACATGCATGGGCAACCAACACATTTAAAGGGGACCTATTATGGGTTTTTTTTTTACATTTTAAACTTTCTATAGTGTGTAATGTTGCTGTTTGAGCATGAATAAGATCTCCAAAGTTACAAAGCACAAACTCACTGGGAAGGGAGTTATTCTCAGATCAGTAAGCAATGATTCTGACCTCCCTGAAACACCTCGATTGTAGTCTTGAGGTTCCTTCTGGGAACGTACACATCACAATTCATCCCTCATTTAAATAATTCCCATCCAAGGCATATGCAAAAAAGGGCAAGCCCTGGTTGAGTTGCTTTAATAACAGGGCTGCATCCGAAATCACATCATCTCTTGAGTAGGTACTTATTTTGAATAAGTAATTACTTCACGGCCGCTAAAAAGTATGTTTTATATAGTATGTCTGGTGTAGTATGAATGTAATCTGGATATACTACATTTGCCATGTTGTTATTATCATGTGACCTACCAGACCCGTGTCAGTTACGTCACTTCTTTACCATTCACAAATTCAAATAGTAAAGTGTCCATCGTATGCGAGTCTCGTCAGATGAAGTAGGTCATCCAGGTACTTTTTGCCTACTCTTTTAATTCAGACATACTACTCTTTGTCACATACTGTTTTTTCGCCTACTACTGTATATAGTAGGGAAGTATGCGATTTAGGATTCAGCCCAAATGAATCAGCCTCCAGTTAGTGCTTACACCTTATACATTTTCGAAACAGCGGAACAGCGGTTGACCCATCGGAACATACTTTTGGTCCTGCCGACCAATCAAAGCACATTGTGCTTTTTCATTGGAGGTTCTTTTAGAGACTGGAAATAAACAGTGTTAATGACAGACTGGGAAGAGAGGTTCTGCAACAATGTAAGGTTTTTTTTTAACATTCAATCATGAAGACCTATTCTAGTAGAGCCCAAAAACAAGACCAAGACATTTTAAAAAAGGCGTAAAATGGCTCCTTTCAACTCATTCTCTCTTGAGTGCATCACGACCCACAATACAAGTGTTTTAATCACTGCAACTTACATTACGTCTTTACAGGGTGATATCACCATGGTGCATTACAAAACTGATCAAGAATGTGACAATGTAGAGATTAACCATCATTCCTTGTTTATTGGTTTATTGTGCAGTGTTTAATCTTGGTGTGTACCGGAGGGAAGCAGTTAAATCATACAAGTCATATGATTTCTTCAGACATGACAATGAGGAAGCCATGAAGATACGGAAGTAGGATTATATCTTTTCTGTGTTCCCCCCACAAATGAATATCCTGTCATTGTTTACTCAACCTCATGTTGTTCCAAACCTGTTAGACTTTCTTTCTTAAGTGGAACATGAAAAGAGAAGTTTACTTTCACATGTCCTGTGTAGAAAAGTTCACAATATTTTTTACAGTGTTAATAGTGTATATGTAATAATAATATATATGCTTTCAGTAAATCAATATGAACTAATGTGACTAGAGTAAGCACGTTATGTTATGTTAACTACTGTAATATGATGGCAGAAGGATTAAGACATTTCCTGAAGGTTACATCAGTGCATTTATGACAGGATTGTTTATGTTTTTCCTGAGAACTGCTGAATTTATATATATATATATATATATATATATTAATGATTATTTGCATCCTAAATAGACAATGTGCCTTGGTGGCCCTGCAAGATGTCAAGGCCTACTTTAATGAAGAAGGTGGACAAATAGCTGTAAGTTTTTTTTTTTTTTACCTCACTTAATTACTGTAATGTAGTATGGATATAATAATAAGATTCATATTTTATACATATACACACACACACATATATATATATATATATATATATATATATATAGATGGATGGATGGATGGATGGATATAAATATTGATATATATTGATAATTATTTATATTTAATCAATACATAGATAATCATGTGACATTGTCCTCATTCTTTTTTTTTTTCTTTTTTTTTTAGGTATTTGATGCCACAAACACAACCCGGGAAAGGCGTGATCTTATATTGAATTTTGTACAGGAAAATGCATTCAAGGTAGCCAAATGTGCAATTTAATCTTCATAAGATGAGTTATCTTTTTGTGGAAGTGATATGTGATTATCATTTTCTTATTTCTGTGCGTTTACGTTTGCAGGTGTTTTTTGTGGAGTCGGTATGTGATGACCCAGAGGTTATTGCTGCAAACATCCTGGTATGTTGTGATGTTTGGTTTACATTTCATTAAACTGATGGTATTACTGTTTATTATCTTCTCAACAGTTGTCTCTTATGTACCTTTTGTATCTTCAGGAAGTCAAGGTTTCAAGTCCAGATTATCCAGAAAGACACAGAGAGAGAGTCATGGATGATTTCCTGAAACGCATTGAATGTTATAAAGTCACTTACCAACCACTAGATCCTGATGAATATGAGAAGTAAGAATGATTCCAAAATCAAACATTATTTTTGCATGTCTGAATGTATATACATTTGCTTTAGAATAAATCTTCTATCTATTTTCCTTCAAATTGCCACTATTTCACTATTTTAAAGGTTCCTAATTTTGTTTTTGGAGGTCTCCTACAATATGTCATCCAAGGTCAAAAAATACTGTAATTTTCTCATAATTTACATTGGTGTATCACCTCTCATCTCAGTGTCTAAAATAGTTTGATAAAGGATTCTGTCTCTCTAAACCTCTCCTTTCAGAGAACCCAGTCTGTTGTGAATGGGCTACAGCTTAAGTCGCATGTCGAAAACGAAATGTCTTTTACCATACAGTATCTAAATTTTCCAGAGGCTTCCTCAGCACTTGTATACACAGTGGTATGAATAGTAACAATGGCGTTGGCTTGACCATATCAATACAATTCCTCATCCTTTGGAAGTGCATGCAAAGTGGATTTGCTTTCACATAGCAGAAAAAAAGTGTCGACAACACAAACCAAACTCCTCCAGGTCTCCTCTAGGTCAAGTAGATGTAGTTTTTGGACAGCCAATGAAGACCATAGGCTGGCAGTATGCAAAATTGTTACAAAACTACATAGGTCTGTGCAGGAAGTAAGACTTTCGGGCAGTTCAGAATCGGTTCTTTCGTTTGGGAAGCAACTCCATTTATCATGCACTTAGTTTCAAAGATAATTGCAGACCTTTTACGTTCGCAAACAGCTGTATTACATACTAAATGGAGGGTTATATCCAAAAAAAAAAACATAAGAGGGGCATTTTGAACGTTATGAACAGGAAAAGACAATCTTTTTTTTTCTCCAGAGACCTGTCCTTCATCAAGGTTATGAACGTGGGCCGCCGGTTCCTGGTAAACCGTGTTCAGGACTACATCCAGAGCAAGATTGTCTACTACCTCATGAACATCCACGTACACTCGCACTCCATCTACCTCTGCAGGCATGGAGAAAGCGAGCACAACGTCGAGGGCCGCATCGGAGGAGACGCTGAACTCTCCTTCCAGGGGAGACAGGTCTGAACTCATTCATTGCTGCCTTTATAGTGGTTAATCATCAGTAGATGCTTGACTTTCTCTCTTCTTTGTGTGTAGTTTGCGAGTGCCCTGCGTGGGTTCATTAAGGAGCATATTAAGCTCTCTGACTTGAAGGTTTGGACCAGCCAGTTAAGGAGAACCATCCAGACGGCTGAGGAGCTGGGAGTTCCCTATGAGCAGTGGAAAATCCTCAATGAGATAGATGCCGTTAGTATGCCCAGGTCCCAGTGGAGATTACATGCAGTTTAGAGGTACTGTATGTTCATTCATCAGCAAATTTTGCTCTGAAACAGGGTGTATGTGAGGAGATGACCTATGAAATGATCCAGAACACATTCCCAGAAGAGTTTGCTTTAAGGGATCAGGACAAGTACCACTACAGATATCCAGGAGGGGAGGTACAGCATGTCATGAACTTCTCACTTTGTTAAAGTTCTTCAGATTATGTCTTGCTGAGTTTTTCTGTGTTTCAAAATGCTCTCTTTTCTTGTAGTCATATATGGACCTGGTTCAGCGACTGGAACCTGTGATTATGGAGCTTGAGAGACAAGGCAATGTACTAGTTGTCTGCCATCAGGCAGTTATGCGCTGTCTACTAGCTTATTTCTTGGACAAGAGTGCAGGCAAGATGCATTTGCATTTTGAAAAGAATGCTAAAACACAAAAAAACTGCCGAATCTGACTCTACATATAAACTATAAATAACTATATATAATTTTATATATATATATATATATATATATATATATATAGTTATATTTGTATCTCATCTTAAACCACATATACAGTATACATGCATATATATATATATTTCAAGACCATATATACCATAATATGCTACAATGGTGATCAATACATCACAGAAATATACATGTTTTTATATTTTGTCTCAGATGACCTCCCCTATTTGAAATGTCCCCTTCACACGGTAATGAAGCTCACTCCTGTTGCCTATGGTGGGTTGGACAGTTGTTTCCTCACTTTTGCAAACATACACATGGAAATTCTGTTCACAAACGATTTTGAATTATGTTTTAGGTTGCAAAGTGGAAATGTTTTATCTGAATGTGGAGGCAGTGAATACACATAGGGACCGACCACTGGTGAGTCCACATCTGTCTCTGTGCTCTCTTTCATTATGAAATATTAATGGAGATAATTAAATATTCATTTTAAAATAATTGGTGCCACATTTATCTCTCAGAATTGAAATTTTCTTCAGTAATGTTTTTGAAACTTACAACAAGCATGCTATCCTTATCCAGCCTTTGATATCTTTTAGGCTTTCTATTGATTGGTAATTACAATTTCCTCACTGCATGTTTGCTGTCTGAGATGCTTTTTTTTTTTTTTAGATAATGTTGGTTAAAGCATTTTCTATCCACAGCATCTGTGATGTGCTGTCAATTACCACAGGAAATAATTTTGACTCATTTTAAACAAATTGACTTATTCATCCTCCTGGAATAATAGTCCCACCTCTACTGCACATTTACAGCTCAAAAACTGATGCAAGTTCTTTAACAACACGTGTTTTCAAACCATGTATGCCTTGCCTCATAGACTTCTACTCTAAACTGTGTAAAATGATTCAAATGGTTTTCATAAAAAAAAAAAAAAAAAAAAACCTGTAATTAAATAAAATATCATATAAATATCATATGGAAAACTTAAATTATAATTTGAAATATTGCCTCTGCAATTAACTGAAATTAAATGCTAAAATCACTAAAACATTATTAAAATATGATCTATAAACTATTAAAATGACAAAAGCACATGGAAAAATTACTTAAACTAAAAATCAAATTGAAAACTGAAAATATATATATTAAAAAAGTTGATTCAAAACATTAATACTAAAATGACAATGATTCTAAGTGCATCACTGTAAATGTATTTTTTTGTCAGTTTTAACTGAATAAGGGGTCAAAGTTGTTGTCTATGGTTAATTGTTAACCCGTATAACACTTTTTAAGCTGTGTTTTGTTGTTTAATCAAAACTGTCAGTCAAATGGTTTGATTAAAAATCTTCTTCCTCTTCTGCTTATTCACCTTATCAGAGTGAGGATCAACCGTCCCCTGTATATGTTGATGATTTACAATATTTGCACAGTTGTATTATAGCCTAGAATCTTGTATGTAAATCACAGTTATGATGTCTCAGCAGCCTGTGGCTGTAATGTAACTCTGCGTTTGTGTTGCAAGTTATGCTTATCCATGTGTTGAACGCTCCATTGAACGACATTGTGCTTTAGACACGTTTGATGTTTTAGAATGTTGAACCTGAATTAATTTATCATACTTTTTAGTCTGTGTATATTGATTAATGTGGATTATCTTTGGGAATACTTGGAGCTTTGGAGACTGATGTGTCTTGTTCGCTATTGAGAGGTGTGCTAAAGGTCTTTAAAGATGAGCTATTGGTGTAGGCCAGCGATGTCCAAACTCGTTCCTGGAGGGACACTGTCCGGCAGAGTTTAGCTCACAACTTGCCTCAACACTCCTGCCTGGACGTTTCTAGTATGCCTAGTAAGACTTGGGTGTGTTTAATTGGGGTTGGAGCTGAGCTCTTCAGGACAGTGGCCCTCCAGGAGCAGGATTGGACACCCCTGGTGTAGGCGGTCTCTCTTTTTAACCCAGCCAGTCTCTCCCATCTCAAACCAGGGGAAAGTCAGACGAGACTCTGCCCCTCTGCTGCTAAGGCGGAATAGTTACACCCCACTTTCCAGTCATGACCAGGTTAAGCGGCCCCGTCTCTACAGCGCTGGCAACCGGTCCTGGCTGCCCCTCACCCCCTCCCCCACCGCCCTGCACTTCCCTGACACACCAGACGGGGCGCTGCTGCTTCAGCAAAGCCAAGTTAGTGTCAGAATCTGAAGCCCTGGGATAATAAATGGACTCAATTGACCCAGTGATGTCCTGACATGAACCCACCCTCACCCTGGTGTTCTGAATCACCTGTGAATGTCACACCCAGTGACACCCAGTACTGTTTGTGCTAAATGCATGAAGTCATTTCTGTTTGGCAGTTTGTTCCTTGTTTTTTATGTAATTGCATGTTCCTAACTCCTTGTTCAGCATGAGCTTCTTTTTTTTGTTTTTTTTGTTTCGCTGTATGGAAACATGCCGCAGGCCATACAATATCCATAACTTACTAGCTAACAGTTCTAATTGGCATTATCCAACATATACACAACAACAAAATATATTTTTTCTTTTTCTGGATTATTTCTCCCTAAGAAAATCAGTCAGTTGTTGCCAATATAGTTAATGTGCTTACAGGAATAGTTGCCCCCAAAAATGAAAATTGTGTCATCATTTACTCATCCTTTCTCATCAAAGATTTTTGTTTTCTGTGGAACATAAAAAATGAGAATTTTAGCTGCTCTTTTCCACAAAATGAAAGTGAATGGTGACCAAAAATTACATAAAATCTAAAATGTCATTTTTAAAGGGGTGATGAACTGAGAAATCAAATTTTCCTTGAGCTTTGAGCACCACAGCATTTTGTTTTATCCATCCTTTTCGACGACAACTAACTACTCGTACCTGCTCGCTCAGAGCTCACGGTGCCCCCGCCCGCTCGCGATATTACCCGCCCCCCTTCTCCATGAGGGCGCCTACTCTAACCTGGCTGTTAGTCCCGTTAGCACAACGGCAGCTACATATAGAAATAGCTGCCGTTATAGCCTATATATATATATATTTTTTTTTTTTGTTTGTTTTTTTTTACCATCGCTTTGGCGCCCCCCCATTGTGCTGCGCCCCTATGCGCCGCATATAGCGCATACCCACTTTTTGCGCCACTGGCTTTTGACATCTAAGAGGTCATAATATTATAAGAATATCCTGTAATTTTCAGAACTGAAAACGTCCTTGTTAGTCCAATAAAAGCTTTTATTGACACCAGCCTCATCAAACGAATCGTTTTTCAAAGTGGGAAACTATGACGTCAAAGAGGATAAAACACCACCCTACTTCAACACGGCCGGTTTAGCCCCACCCACCGATTCGCGCATTACACGCATAGCTAAATTACATTGGCCTACCTCGTGATGACAAACCCGGATCGAGAGTGAAACACATTATAATATGCAAAACTGTTATCCACTCACAGCAGTGCGTGTTTACTTCCAAGTCTTCAATGCGAGACGCCCATAAAAACCGAGTGTTTTTTGAGCTGGGCTCAAAACTAGGGTAGAAAATAGCCTATTACTTATTCATTTTGATGTTTTTTTTTTATATAAAAACCAAGCGAATGTCATAACTTGACCTAAGAAAACAATATAAAAAAAATTAAAAGCCAGTTCATGACCCCTTTAAATCATACAGCAGGCATATTCAAAGTGGTTACCATGCTTACTAAAAAGATAGGATTCTTACTCATTAGCTTTCATTGAATGGAAGCGAGCAGAGCAATATGTTTTATTTCATACAGAAAACAAAAGTCTTATGGGTTTGGAATGACATGAGGGTGAGTATGATGACCTAATTTTCATTTTTGGTTGAAAACTGATGTTGTGCCTTAGGAATCAATATTCCTTGTCCAAGTTTTACTCTGACCATGCAAATTTGTCATTGCGCTTCAGTTGTCTTCTCCATATTTGTCTCTCCTCTTCCCCCTTCATCCTTCTCTCTCTGTTCTCACAGTCTCGTGTGGTTGGCAGTCATCTGTGAGTATATTTCATCGATATGTGTGATGTCACTAACATGTATGTAGATTCTTGGTTGTCTTTTCTGCCTGATTTCTTATAACCTGCATTTATGTTGGAAGATTCGATCACAAGCATGTTTTTATATGTGTGTTGACTTGAATTTTGTAACAGTTCATCAGGTTGTCCTGTGTTGTGACATATCTTTGTAGAGAATTTTCTTTACCTTTTCAAATGGTTTTCAAATCATTACACCTAGTCAAATAGTAATCTAGATACAGGATTAGCATGAGTTATTTATAAAAGAAAGTAGTTTGAATTGTCTTTTAAATTGAAATCTAAAGGTGCCTATATATATTTTCTGAAGTCAGTGACAGCATTTTTTAAATATATTATAGAATTTAATACTTAAAGGGATAGTTCACTTTGAAATACATTTTTGATATGTTTTAGCTTACCTCAAGGGCATCCAAGATGTAGGTGTCTTTGTTTCCACAGCATTTTCAATTTTGACATTTTTTGGCCAAACCGTTGTTGTCTATCAGTCATACACTGGAGGTTAAGGGGGTCCTCCCTCGGTTCACTACAAAAAGCATGCACAGAGAAGTCAAAATTAAACATGCATTAATGACTCATGAATGTAAGTACACACTGATGGCCTAAGACACGAAACGAGCAGTTTGTGTGAGAAAACGAACAGTATTTATGTAGTTTTTACCTCTTGTTAACAGCCATTTCGAACTGATCTGAATCAGATGTTCAACTAAACCGCCTCCAGACGTTACGCCGGTAGTGATCTCTCGCGCGTCTATGTCACGCATTGCTTACACAGAGATTTCGGAAGTTTTACCTTTCACTAAACATATATACGAGAAATCGCAATGGAAGACAATTTCGATATATCTAAATATGTTTAGTGGAAGGTAAAACTGTGTATGACTGACAGACAACAACGGTTTGACCAAAAAATGTCAAAATTGAAAATGCTACATCTTGGATGCCCTTGAGGTAAGCTAAAACATGTTAACAATTAATTTCAAAGTGAACTATCCCTTTAATGATACTGATACTCCTTATATTGAAGTTTAACTTTATCTCTCTCTCACACTTTTTTTTTTAGGACTCCTTGTGTGAAGGAATCAGCTTTGACTGCCCAGGCGAAGATAATGACTGTTTCCGCTTCTGAGTGAGATGGGAGAATTTCCAAAATCCTGCATGACACTGAAACTTTGCTTTTAGATTCCCTCCTCCTGCTTGCTTTATCAGTGTTAGGACTACATTTCCCATCAACCCACTGCATGACAAATCCCCACTGAATGATGAAATGTATATGAAAGATATATATATATATATATATATATATATATATATGACCCAACAAAGAATATTTATTTTAAGTGATGATGCCTTATTGAAGATTGAACAGAGGAGAATCCTCTGGTCCTCTTGAATGTTTTCTGACAGAACTTGAACACAACGTGGGTTGTGCAACTGATGCTGACCTCTGATACAGACTGTGTGTTGCGACACAATGTGATTTGCAACAAAGCATTTTCACAACTATTACAACATCTTCTTCATATATACCATAGTCAGTCATCGTCAGAAAGAAGACTAGCCTTATTCAGGGAATTAATTGAAGAGAGATTTAATATAGAGGGAGTAGCTTTTTAAGGTTTGTTTTGTGGCTTCTAGGAATGCACTAACTGAGAGTACAATGAATCATTCTTAAGTCTTGCACATTTTCTTAATAAGAATGATGTTTATGGATATTGTACAAAGTTCGCTACTCGTGTCATATTTTTATAGAAATGTATTTGTGTATTGCATTATGTCAAAATGACAGGGATTTGTAGGATTCAGTATGTAAAATGGGTATATTTTGTAAGGTCCCGCTGATGATGCTAGCAAATATAGTTGTTTATACTAAGGTTTTGAATGTAATGTGCTCTTTAAGATAGGAATGTTTTCTCCGGTTATGTGATTGTTAAAACTTGAATTACTAGCTTAACACTAGTAATCCCTGCATTATTCTCAACAGCATGTCATCAACCAATGACATTGAATACAATAGTTGATTGATGTGCAAAATGACCATTCACTTTTGATGGTTTAATGTTAAGGCAAAAATGTCATGGTACTGTTCACTACTACTTTCCAATTTTATTTTACATGTTTGATCACATTTTTGCCTCAAATCTAAAATGGTGTGACAAATGTATTTTCAAAATTAATTTCATGTGGTCATAAGGTTTTAAATGCTACATGCATGCACAGTAATTACAAATACATTAGTAAAATGCTGCAGAATTGTTATAATGGAGCATACGTCACAACTTCACGTCAACTTTTCAATTTCATGTCAACTGCCCATGATCAGTGTCCATATGTTCGTTATGTTTGTTCAACCCAGCTTCATAAAATAGCAAAAATCAAGGTCCAGTTTAAGTAACCACGCATGCCCTGAATGGCTGCTGTGAGGGCAGTGCACAGTACGATATTGCGCACCATGTGACTTTCAACTGTTATAAATTATTACATGCTGTACTGGCAATGCCACTCATATACAGAAACATATATTCAGACAATAGAATTTTGCCTCTAACAATGCTGTTCTCATACATACAATTAAACAGTCATACTTCTGTTATTGTGCAAGTCTTATTTTGTGTGTTTGTATGCGTGTTGTTCTGACGATTCATGCTACCCATCGAGATTTGCTACTTAACGGTTATGCGCATGTGCAGACCATAGACAGTAGGTGCAGACTCACGGGTTTGTTTGTTTTTTAACAGTGGCCTGATAGCCACAAGATGGCGCCCAAAGACTTATCTGAAGTCTCTTGATGAAAGACAGATAATTTGTTACATTATAGTTAAGCAATTAGAAACTGTGCTATAGCCTATTGTTTGTCGCTGCTAAAGTGGTCGTGTTCTGCAAATACTAAATGTTAAAATGTTATTTTATAGAGAAAATTAATTCCGCTGCAAGTCAAATCACTATTAGTAGGCTACACAACAAAAATCCGCCAGGACCGGAAATTTGTATTAAAAAGTTTGTATTAGGCGAATATTTTTATCATCACCGTTCTTGTAATCGAATGTTGTAGCATTATACTCAAGTTTTTGTTGTAAATTATCTGCCCTTAACAACATTTTCCAGTGATATCGAGCCTCACTATTGTACTTCATCTATAGGCCTATCACAATAGTGTGACTGACAAAAAAATGAATGGTTGCACCTGGAACACACACACACACACACATACAAACTGCCCTCTCGGTGTTACATAACGCTGATGGAGATAGAGGAGAACCACAAGAAAAGTAGCTTCTAAGTCACTGCAGGTAAAGGAAGAAATATCTATCCAAAATAGCCATGTTTACAATGTCTCCTATTCTGGGTGCAGCCATTCTCTTCCTCTTGTTTGTCTACTTAGACGCTAAATGTATTGTCTTTTGAATGGGGTGCAAAAATAAATCCATTGACTCTCTTTAAAATGAATGTGTCAGTATCATTTCATGCATCAGTGAGAGCTGAAAAGTGCAGGTGCTTCATAAGAGCATGTTAAAAAGCCCTTGAAAACTGTTTGAGGTTTCACTTCAGCATAGTGTTCCAGTCTGACCACAATAGCACGGTTGTCCTATCTAGGGATGATTACATAGATCAACTTTCTGTTATTTATTTTTCCTCTCTTTTCCCCCATTTACTCTTTCTCTGCTTTCCATCTGATTTGTTTTTCCATCACTTTGTAAAGCTGCTGTTGTCTTTCAAATGTGTGGTTGTTGCAGACAGGTAATTATATACTGGCTCCTGAGGTGCATAACAATCTTTTGTTGGTTTTTTGTGTGTAACTACCCACCCAAAGTCCAACAGGAGTCAGGACTGCTTTTGCTCAATATGTCTATTAGTTTAATGTTATATAAAAATAATATTATTATACCAATAGCTCTTTACATTGGCTCACAATGTAGTATCAAATTCCTACTAAAGCATAAGGAGTGAAGATATTGTGTAATAGGCCTATTATTGATCAAAATATTGGTAACACGAGGTCTTTAAGTTTTGTATTGATAATATCAAAAGTGACAACAGGAAAATACACCATCAAAACGAGATGTATTTAGAAGTGTTTAAAATCTTTGTTTAAAATTTATTAGTAGGTTACTAGCAAGCTTACATTAGGTTGATGGTGTTCTTTCGAACTTTCTATGCATCAATAAGCCTAAGAAATAGTTTCAACAAAAATATCTGTATATTATTTAGCACAACTGTTTACAACTTTGATGATAAGAAATGTTTTTGAGAACCAAATCAGCAAATTAGAGTGATTTCTGAAGGATCATGCGACACTGAAGACTGGAGTAATGATGTTGAAAATTCAGCTTTACCATCACAGGAATAAATTATATACAATTAATATATATTAATTATATAAAACAGTTCTTTTAAATTGAAATAATTCTTCACAATATTACTGTTTTTACTGTATTTTAATTATCAAATAAATGCTAACTTGGTGGGCATGATATATTTAAACACTTTTATATGATAAAGCACTGGAATTTAATACCCTTGACCTTAGTGATGTATGATACTCTGTGACAACAAAAACAGAATGATGTGTAAGGATCACACCTGTGTGTGTGTGCGCACGCATGTAATCGAGAACACCAGGGAGTTGCAGTTTAGCACCGAAATGTGAGAGATGGAGGTCACCCAAAGCAGCGCTCACCTGTCCGAGAGCTTTCTGGGGAATTTGATATCCTTCACTCACAGTGTGTCAGACTGAAAGAAAAAGCAAATAAAGAGAAAGCAAGCAGGGTGGGAAAGAACCTGAATTGCCACAACCCTCAGAGAAGGCGCTAATAATGATTATTATCGCACAGCTCTCTTGGATACTTGATTCTGATTGGTCAAATACTTTTTTTAGTGACCTTTGCTTTGACTCACACTGGGTTAGTTGAATGGATCTCCTTCTCTTATAATGAAATAATTGAAACTAAAATCAGTATTTATTTATTTATTTGTTCGTGTGTTCAAGTTATTTAGTAGTGTGCAGGTTCAACCGCTTTCATTTAAGTGACTGATTTTAATAGGCTACCCAAGAGCAATTATGACTGGGTTATAGTTAATTCAGGTCATTTTAGACGCCTAACCATCGTGCATTAGATGGCAAATAGGCAAAGCCAGCTGTGTCAAACCGCATCACGCTGGGATCAGGAGCCGTGTCGTTGCATCTGTGTGACTCAAGCATTTGTGGGGCCAGTTTTTATGAGCTGTTTAATGGCAGTGAACTGAACGGAGCCATTTAGTGCCGACTCAGTGCCGCAGTGTGAATAGGGTTTGGTCTGGTACTCTCGTAAAAACACCGTGTCCATTATTATGGGCAGAGAAAGGAGAGAAGGGGTGAACATGGAACAAGGAGGGGCTGTACCTAAAGACAGCAGTAAATCAGGGGTTCGTTTATACCTTCTCTCTCACTCACTCACAAACACACAAAGATCATTTCAACTAGATTTTCCATCGTTTTGAGGGTTTGAATGCAGAACTACCTCTCTGTGAGGAACTTTTGCATGGGAAAATAAACCAAAGTAAAAATTAGTATGAGATTTTTTCTGCATAGGTATGCACTTTCATTATAGCCAATGGTATTTATCAAATGCAAGTAAGAGCAAAGTCATTAAAATGCTTGACTCAATTTACTTTTATTTTTAGTAGTATTATACCGTATTTATTTTTATAATTTAGTCATTGTAAAAAAATTTTAAACATTTTTTTCAGAGAAATTAATAGTATCACAGTACACTCTAAAAAATGCTGGGTTGGTTTAACTATTATCTTTTAAATTATATCTTCACTAAAATCATTGATTTTACTTTTATTGATTTTTGATCAGATAAATGAGCATAAGAGACTGATTTTAAGAACATTAACAAATATTTTATTTGCAACCCCAAACATAGTAATATATATATATATATATATATATATATATATATATATATATATATATAATATGTTTTTAGAACAATGTAAAAGTTTGCACAATGTAACAAAACATTTTTTTCTTTTTTATAATTTTGTATTTATTTATTTATTTCATTTTTTAATATATAATTATTATATAATTTTAAATGTTTATTATTATTTATTTATTTTAATAAACTATTTTATAATTTAATTATTTATTAATTTAAACTATTAATGTTACTATAAGTAACTATTAATATTACTATTAATGTTAATGTTAGATAAATATATAATACACTGTATATATATTTAAACATACATATATATTGCTTTTTACGTGTGTGTATATATATATATATATATATATATTATACAGTGTGTGTCATTATATATTTATTTATTTTCACAACATAAATAGTAATGAGGTTTAAATAAATAATTAAATTATAAAAAAAATTGTGTACTATTAATAATTAAAATAATAAATAAAAATAATAAAAAATAATTTTAATTAATAATAAAATTAAAATAAAGTCTTAATTTGTATGCAACTGTGTGTTAAGGAGAGATATTTTTAGTGGATAAGATAAAACATATTACAGTTTTACTGTATAACATTTTACAGTTTTTTTACAGTTTGAATATGTGGTGGATAAAATGTTTTACTCCATTATATCACTTACTGATGCAGATGATTTCAACTGTTCAACACAAATTCAAAAGGAGGACAGAAAAAGCCGGAGAGGCGAGCGTCTGTAAAATAAACTACTGTCAAGTTTTTGAGCTCTCGTGTATAATCTATAGAGCGGGTGGGAGGGGATAAAGAGATTAACAGGTAAAACAGTCCTCTTCAACCGCACGTACCACAATGACACAGCATTCATCATCAAACTGCGGCTAACAAGAGCCTTTGAGTGTTTGTGTAAACACAGGGATGCATTAAATCAAATATATGGTTCCTCTCAGCCCAACACTTCCAGCGATAATCATATTGTTGCTCTCTCACAAACACAGATGCTCACAAGCTGGTCTTCATAATAATATTTCTCTCTGTGTGTTTTGAGGACACTCGGCTCCAGTTACTTTGTCCCTCATCGCTAGAATCAATTAACCACTTGAAGGGGGGCAACTTTAATTTAAATTAAACACAAGCAGCTATGCAAACAGTGGACAGTGGCGAGAGAGAGGAAGAGAGCGAGGGAGTCTCAGGCCTGTAGAGCCGCTGAGTCTAGACTCCAGATGTGCGAGGCGGCCCCTGAGGTCTTCAGTAAATATCAGCAGCACATGTCATCACAGTTACAGCACTACCAATCATGACTGCAAAAGAACAACAGGCGTATCATTTCTAGAGATCGCGGTAGCATGCACAAACACACACACGCACAACATGCAATAGGCGCTTGAACACACGCCAGTGTCCCGTTTGTTTTGTACTGCAAAGACTCAAGTATCTGTTACAGTTCGGCCCTAAGAGTCTGTGTTCATTTGCATGCATATATGGACAGTCATTAGTCAACTTGACAAGTTCATGCTGTCTTCCTCAAACAGAAACTAAATGACTTGTGGAAATCTGAACATTAACAGATTTGGAGTGGGGTACACTGGGTAGACTGTGTACAGTTTGAAAACATTAAATAACTTGCGTAGGCTATGCATCACAACTGACTCATGATTTTTA